GACCGCGGGACTCATCGCTCACGGGCACCACCTTCTCCTGGAGGCAGACGGGCGCGGGCGTGCTTGAGCATGAGACTGAGCTACACAACAGGAGAGCTACTGCAGACAGTACTGAGGCCAGCGCCCTGGAACGCAGGCCGCTTACCCCAGGTCGGGCAGAAGTCATCGTGCTGGCGGAGGAGGAGAGGAAGCGAGCGCGACACAGGAGCTGCGAGGTCCGATCCAAGGTCTTTCGTAGCAGTCCAGCCGACATTATCCAGAAACAGGGAATCGATCAGTGCCCCGCTGGGTGAACTTTTCACACGGATGGAATCGGGCCTCCGGAGATGGTAACCACGAGGCTCCGATCAGACGGCAATTATGCAACAGGTCGCTAAGCTAAGCCCTCGACAATTAGTCATTACATGGACGCCGCTTGGACCTCCCTCCCCCACGTTCCCGACAACCCTGGGAGAAAATCCCGCGCCAGTGCATGGAGTGGATAGGTGTGGCCCCCCTTCTGGGTCACGCCGAGAGTACTATCTTGATCGATGCGAATGGGACCCAGCATCCAATCAGGGTCAAGAATCTCATTATTATCTTTTATTTCTGCCTTATCGTAGTACTCTATCTGTGTAGGGTGTCGAGTCCGATCTGGCAAATGGTCGAAGGCATGCCCATTCCTTTGTGTGGGCAACTCACGTTCCTGCGCAGGCAGGATCGTGGCTGCTCCTATCATGAGCCTACCTTGCTTCACCATACTGGTACATGCTCTGTGCACGGGCCGCATTGAACACCCCGCGTGCTGCCGGAGGGTGATATGAGCCCACTGCCTCTGAGCAGGTGCTGGAGCACACGACGCCGACCAGCAGGGGGATTGATCATCTGGTGGCGACGTTTGTCGCCCTGAGGGATGCTGCAGTCGCACACTCCATGGTCCCTTGCGCCTTGTGATTACCACGCGTGGCAGACTCTGCAGCGGGGCGCGTGGTGCAGCAATGTCTGTGCCCTGACGGTGTCTTTCCCTCGACTCCCTGGGATTGCCCAATGAGTGCTACTGTGACACCGCTGCCATCACCCTTGGAGAAGCACCCCAGGTGTGGAGGTCATAGTGATGCCGTTGTGGTGGGAAATAGGGTGATGCCGTTGAATCAGTGCTGCATGGCTTCGTATCTGAGTTGGGGATTCAATCCCTGCTGCGCGTCATGCCATTGCAGCGACCCTCACGCTCCCTCCATTACACAATCCCTCAGAGGTGTTGATGCCTCCTGGTGTGCTCACGTGACCACGCAACGCCCCTGGCGGAGCAGTGGACATCCTGTTCTGCCTGATTGTGTTGTGGCTGCAATGGACGAGCCACTAATGCATGGGCATAGCAGCAAGTTGCATTGGTGCCCCTGTTGCATTGGCTGGCCTTGCACCCAGTGGGCCCAGCGGAAGCCTGGCTTGCGACTGGTTTAGAGCTGGGCCTGTGGACCATTCCGATCATCTGTGCCTGCGATGCGTGAGCTGCGGTATCGGCAAACGCTTAGCTTAGGGTGGGCTGTGCGCTCAGGGCCTCAGCATCCTTTACTCGAGGGCGTCCCAGATGATATGCAGTGCCGCGGCGTGTGCTCGGCTGCTGGCGGGCGCACCTCCCCTGTCAAAGGTCTTGGAATTCTAGGTAAGCTTGATTGAGCGGGGGCAAGAAGATTCATGTAGCTCCAAGATGTGTGTCTCCAAGGCGCATCGGCGGTCTGTGTCGGGTCGCATGTCGGTATGGGCGAGGATCTGACTTACTGCACTTTGCCCACAGTCAAGGCTACACAGCTTGGACTGCAAGCGTTGACTCGATTGCCTGCCCAGCTAGCATGCGCATTACCCAGTGCTGAGACCCTCCTTCTCTTCACCGCTGTTCAGGCTCTTGCAGTGGTGCCTCGGCCGGGCAGCATGGAGACGAATGTCAGTTCCGCAAGCTCGAGCAGACCGCAGTGGCTGGGGCCTGTACCCTGGCACCCCGCGTAACAGCGACAACTTTGTCTACCATTGTGTACCTCAGCGATGCAGCGGTCTCAAGCTGGCTTTGCGGAGTGAGATCGCGACGCTCTGCAGCAGCGGCATCGCCCTAGCAGAATGCTTGGTGAGGTGCGATCGAGGGATTGAGGTTGGCTTATGACAGTGGGGCCGCAGGGTTGGAGCAAAGACAAATGGCGTCACCCAGAACGATGGCCAGCACTGAGGCGGAGGATCGCTGTGGCCTGTGCTCTATCAGCCTGCTGCGCCTCTGCAGGGTAACCCTAGATGCGTGGTATGTGATCGGCTTTCGGCTTTTCCCCGACCCCTTCAATGCTGCGCACCTGCTCCTCATCGCCCAGTGTCTGCAAGCCTCTCCCCTGACACACATTCTTGCCGCCCTCGCCATACACAGACACAGTGCTGGTGCTGCTGCTGCGACCAGTCCAAGGCGAGCTGGTGTGTCCCTCGCACGGAGGAGTGCTGGCTCAGGCAGTGGTAGGCGAACTATGCATGCTCGCGTCTGACCTCGGCGCATCCACAACGATGAGATCTGGCAGCGCGAGCGTGTTGCACTGGCACCCATCATTGCTGGTGGCGACGTGTCTCTGGAGCTGGCCACGGCAGCCTCTATCACCTGCTAAGCCTAAGATCTTGCTGCGCGTGGACCTACTGCCACGGCAATGAGTGCGCTGCGCGCTCTGCAGGCGGCAAGGAGCGTCGATGCCAACGCGGCGTTGGCCAGCGCTCTGGTGTGTGCTGGGCCGACAGTGAGTGCGTTATTGTCGTCTGGCCTGGATGGAGGTGAGGCGTCTCTGCAACCTGTGTGCGTCTTGGAGCTGTCGGCCATATCTGGGAGGTAGCCTGTCTAGGGCCTGCCATGGCACCGTCATCGTAGGCTGTACTGCGCGGGTGTTGTCCTTCGCATGACGAACCTCCTCGTCGTCGCCCGCAGGTTCCGCTGCGGCGTTGTCCTCCTGTTCCTAGCAAGATCGGGAAACCATGTTTCCGAAACCAAATTGTTGTGGGGGCGGGGTGGACTGCTGTACATGAATTGAACGAGTAGGATGGTACAGAACAAGACCACCCATACGGTGAGGGGCCAGGGTTCAAAGCAGGGTGCCAGGCGGCGTAGAAACATCGTGCAGGTGGAAGGGGCGTACGATTACGGAGAGGACGCCCCTACAACAGCTTCAGGGGCCGAGTCTGAGGCACGGACACAAGAAAAAAGGGTGAAAACGCTCGGGTTGTGGGGGCGGGCCAGACCCCTACAACGGTGGATTGCTGTATATCACCTACAAACTCAGGTATGGTACAGAACAAGACCACCGATAGGGCGAGGGGCTAGGGTTTTAGGTATAGTGTCAGGCGGCGTAGAGACATCGTGCAGGTGGAAGGGGTGTACGATTACGGCGAGGGCGCCCCTACCACAGTTTCAGGGGCCGAGTCCGAGGCACGGACACAAGAAGAAAGGGGTGAAAACGGTCGGGTTGTGGGGGCGGGTTAGCCGCTAGAACGGTGGACTGCTGTATATGAATTGAACGAGTAGGACGGTACAGAAACAAGACCACCGATACGGTGAGGGGCTAGGGTTGTAGGTATGGTGCCAGGCAGCGTAGAGACATCGCGGGTGGAAGGGGTGTACGATTACGGCGAGGGCGCCCCTACAACAGCTTCAGGGGCCGAGTCTAGGGCCCGGACACAGGAAGAAAGAGGTGGAAAACGGTCGGGTTGTGGGGGCGGGGTAGCCCCTAGAACGGTGGACTGCTGTATATCACCTACAAACTCAGGTAT